GTATAATAAAAGGCCACAACAGAATAGAGAAGACATTGGAAAGTTAACCTCTTATATTGTTATAGATTTTTGAACATTATTAAATATTAATATTATTATTTGTAGTAATTTGGGTTAAATAACAAAAGAATAACTAGATTTAGTAATATTGGTAAATACAAATAGTAAGGTTATAGTTTTAAGTTAGAGCTTAGTTATGTAACCTGTACTACATTAGATTAGGTTTAGGATGTGCAATGGTACTGTTACGACAGCGGAAGTCATGTGATGCTGGTAACACGTAATGAGTATCTCGAACGTTCCTGAAGGCTTGAGTGTTTGCCAGACACCCTCTATTTTGTATATATAAGACCGGCGAGAAGTGACGGCATAAGTAATTGAATAGCAGACAGATAATCGAGTCAAGCCGCAAGTAAAATGTGTAAATCGTTGTGAATTATAGCGTGTGTTTAAGTTAAAGTGACTGTGGAAATTAAGTGTATTGAGAAAGAATAAACTAGTTTTATTTAAGAAAGGACTTGTATTGCTAAAGTTTCATCCAAAAGAAATTATACAGGAAATAAACAAATCAACAAACACAGAGGCATAACAAATTGGTGTCAGAAATGGGATAGAAAAACAAAAAAAAAAAAACAAGATGGAAACGAAAGGTGGCAAATCAAACTACAGCTTAGCAGATTTGATGGCAGCAATACAAGAACAGCAAAAGAAGCAAGAAGAACGAGAAAAGAAAATGAACAAGAAGAAAGTCTCCAACAATTGAGAGAAAGCCAGAGTACACAAATGGAAAACATTAGTAAATTTCAAAGCGAATTAAATACATTAAAGGATGATTTATTGTTTTTTAGAGAAGGAGGATACATTAACCATCGACTTAATCAGCCCCAGACAACGGCAAACCCCTTCCAGACCCCGCAGCTAAACCCTAATGCAGACATTTTCAGTCCTGTTGGAAGTCACATCCCAGATATGAATGTCAGCAATAGGGGTGATCTAGTATGAAGGAAGCCACAGGAATTCGATGGGGAGGCACCATGGGAAGCATATAGAGCACAATTTGAGCTACTGGCAGAAATGAATGTATGGACAGAGGAGCAGAAAGCAGTGTACCTAGCAATGAGCTTGAAGGGACAGCCACTGGAGATACTTGGACAGTTATCAGCAGATGACAGGCAC